AGATACTTCTTAACATATACCAAAAATGAAAGAAATCAGACCATAAATAGCGGAGTTCACTTCTCAGCCATTAGCGGCTGCTTAGCGGTATATTTTTGTATGGTTTTTATGGTTATATTCTCATTTTTACGGTCTCATTTGATAGAACGAAAGATATGTTACAGAAATAGATATGATTTTGATTGCTTTCATAATGAAAAGTACCTTGAAATTGCGCTCACAGTAGCGAAAATGTTCTATTCTTAAGCGAAGCTCAAGAGTAAACACCTTCCAATACCTGTCCGCCTGTCAGTCCAAATTCCAATACGGAGTCAGGAATGGGTTGACATTATTTATGCAATTATTACAATAATGCAGCAGTCTGCATAACAGTAAATCTTCTATTTTTTTTGTGAATAAAAATTCCAAATGGTAAGCAAGAGTAATACAGTGGTCCCTCGCTTTTCGTAGTTCTCGGCAATCGTAAATTTCGCCACTCATAAGGGTATTTTCGTATAAACATGGACTCGCTTTTCATAGGTTGACTCGTGAGTCGTAGTTCGTCCGGGATGCGTACCCACGGCGTGAGCCGTGGCGGCAGCCAGTCTGGCATTGTTTACCAGTGAGCGAAGGTCCCCTCACGTGCTCCAGTGAAATATTTCATAATATTCCATTTATTTTAGTGTTTGCAAGTACTAAATAAGCTACCATGGCTCCAAAGAAAGCTCCTAGTGCCAAGCCTGTGGTAAAGAAGGTGAGAAATATGATTGAATTTAAGAAAAACATCATTGAACAATATGAAAGTGGTACAAGTGTGGCCGAACTGTCCAGGATGTATAAGAAACCCTACACAACCTTATGTTCCATAGTGGCCAAGAAAAAGGAAATCAAGGATGCTGTTGTTGCAAAGGGGTAACTATGCTGACAAAAATGAGATCACCAGTACTCGAAGAGGTTGAGAAGTTATTATTGGTGTGGATAAATGAGAAACAATTAGCAGGAGATACTCTTATGACTTCGATTATTTGTGAAAAGGCTAGGCAGTTGCATGACGATTTGGTAAAGAAATTGCCTGCAACTAGTGATGATGTGAGTGAATTTAAGGCCAGCAAAGGCTGGTTTGAGAGATTTAAGAACCGTACTGGCATACACAGTGTGGTAAGGCATGGTGAGGCTGCCAGTTCGGACCACAAGGCGGCTGAAAAATATGTGCATGAATTCCAGGAGTACATAGAGGCTGAATGACTGAAACCTGAACAAGTGTTCAATTGTGATGAAACAGGCCTCTTTTGGAAGAAAATGCCAAAGAGGACCTTCATTACACAAGAGGAAAAGGCAATGCCAGGACACAAGCCTATGAAAGACAGGCTGACGCTAATGTTCTGTGCTAATGCTAGTGGAGATTTCAAAGTGAAGCCATTACTAGTGTACCATTCTAAAAATCCCAGAGTGTTCAGGAAAAACAATGTTATGAAGAGTAAATTATGTGCGTTTTGGAAATCTAATAGTAAGGCATGGGTCACGAGGGAAATTTTCGTCGAGTGGTTTAATGAAGTGTTTGGCCCTAGTGTGAAGGAGTATCTCCTGGAAAAGAAATTGTATCTCAAGTGCCTGCTAGTAATGGACAATGCACCTGCTCATCCTCCAAACTTGGATGACCTAATTTTCGAGGAGTTTGGGTTCATCACAGTAAAGTTCTTGCCCCCGAATACCACTCCTCTCCTCCAGCCCATGGACCAGCAGGTCATTGCAAACTTTAAAAAACTCTACACAAAAGCAATGTTTTACAGGTGCTTGACTGTGACCACAGACACTCACTTGACCCTAAGGGAATTTTGGAGAGAACACTTCAGCATCCTCCATTGCATAACCCTTATAGGTATGGCTTGGGAGGGAGTGACTACCAGGACTTTGAACTCTGCCTGGAGAAAATTGTGGCCAGTTTGTGTCGACAAGAGGGATTTTGAAGGGTTTGGGACTGACCCTGATGAGCCTATGTCTGTTGTAAAATCAGTTGAGTCAAGAACTGGTCAAGGACTGATCAAGGACTGATCAAGGAATAGGCCGAGGGGACACTGACCCCCAGAACACCCTCTAGGTAGGTACTATTAAGGTTTGGCTCGTAAGATACATCTGTAACATGCATCTGTAAGATACTCTGTAAGATACATCTGTAAGACACAAGTGGGGAAGGGAGAATATCTGAGGGGACGCAGATGGACTCCTGGACACATGTACCTGGGGAAAACTTAGATGCAGGATTACTGGGTGTAGGATGGGAAGTGTAGGATATGAAGTGTAGAATAGAAAGTGTAGGATAGGAAGTGGGGAAGGGAGAATATCTGAGGGGACACAGATGGAACCCCTGCAGTATGCAAAACATTTAACATATTTCCTCTTCTCAGTTTCATAACTATAGTAGTAACTCCCTGGGTGGTTGCTGTCTGTCACACTGTATCTCTCTGGGTGGTTGCTGTCTGTCACACTTGGCACTGGGGAGTTCCATGGGGTTGGATGTGAGTTTGTAGGATGTGGAAGAATTGGTGGAAGACCGCAACGAAGAGCTCACCACTGAGGAGCTGCAAGAGCTTCAGCAGGAAGAGCAACAGATTGCAGCTCAGAATCTTGCTGCAGAGGAGGAGGAAGGGAGATGGAAGAAGGTGCTTTCTTCAGATATTAAAGAGATTTTTACTATGTGGGGTAAGATGGAAAGCTTTATGGAGAAACATCACCCTAACAAGGTTGTTGCAAGCCATGTTGGCAACATGTGCAGTGACGAAGTCTTGAGCAATTGGTACCTGAGGTGTTGCTGGAAGGGGATTCCCCTTCCAGACCATAAACAATCCACTCTCTCTCCTCCAGTCTCCCATACACTAAGAATAATCTCCAATAAAGGTAAGTGTTTTGCTGTTAATGTTTCATTCATCATTTCCCATTGTATTGTTTATGTATTACATGTATATTTCATGTAAAAAAAATTTTTGTTTTAATACTTCTGGGTGTCAGGAACGGATTAATTGTATTTACATTATTTCTTATGGGGAAAATTGATTCGCAAATCGTAAATTTCGTTTATAGTAGCTCCTCCAGGAACGGATTAATTATGAAAAACGAGGGACCTGTAGCCATGACTAATAAACAGAGAAAATGTTATTTTAGTGCCAGGAATGTCTACATTGTTTATTCTGGACCTTATTTTGAAATTGGCATCTGTTGAAATTTGTGTGAAATTGGCCAAATTGCCAATTTCTGACCACTTTATTGGGTAGTTGAAATAAGTGAATTGGCGGTTTCTTGTACTCAGTTGACAGACTAGAAGTAAATAAGTTTATTCAGGTATACAAAAATACAGTTACATAGATTATCATACATAACAGTGTATGTATAGAGAACCTAGGATAACCCAGAAAAGTCAGACAAAATGACTTGTTTCCAGTACCTGGCTTGGGCTTGCCATATATGAGTTTTGGTAAATATTTTTTTCCTCGGTTGTTTGTTGGGCTATCTCATTGAAACTTGGGCAATGTATGATGGAAAGATGCTTCTTAACATACAACAAAAATACAAAAAAAAAGAATGATAAATAAGGGAGTTAACTTCTTAGCCATTAGCCGCCTCTTTGCAGTATATTTTCGTATGGTTTTTATGATTGTTTTCCCATTTTTTTGGACTCATTTGATAGAATGGAAGATATATTACAAAAAATAGACATGATTTTGATTGCCTTCATGACGAAAAGTACCTTGAAATTGAGCTCAAAGTAGCGGAAATGTTCGATTTTGCCGGTGTTCAATGAACTTTGTGCAAGTCAAGTTGGTTAATTTTATTAAGTGTATTCTAACCTAACCACTTTGTAATCCGTCAAACTCAGTAATCCGGCACGCTACAGGTCCCAATGATGCCGGATTTGTGATGGAAGACCTATAGTAATGGAGTCAGTCAAATACTAAGAAAGAGGAGCACTGCAAGGGAGCTAGGGGCCCACAAAAGGTAGGAGCAAGAACACAAGGGGGGGGGGGAATAAATAATAAAGGACAAATACCCAAGGCAGAAGAAAGAAAACCCAAAGGAGAAAGAGAGTTATTTGTGTATTGTTCCAGTCACAGTACTGTGCCTTTTTTTTGTTATTTAAGTAGTGCTGTTTGAGGTACATAGTAACATAACTTGGAGATGATACCAATTGATTTAAATAGTTTTGTAAATATATTTTGTGAATATAATGCAGAGAATTCGTAGTTTGGAAGTTAGGAGGAGGTGCGGGATTACCAAAACTGTTGTCCAGAGGGCTGAGGAAGGGTTGTTGAGGTGGTTCGGACATGTAGAGAGAATGGAGCGAAACAGAATGACTTCAAGAGTGTATCAGTCTGTAGTGGAAGGAAGGCGGGGTAGGGGTCGGCCTAGGAAGGGTTGGAGGGAGGGGGTAAAGGAGGTTTTGTGTGCGAGGGGCTTGGACTTCCAGCAGGCATGCGTGAGCGTGTTTGATAGGAGTGAATGGAGACAAATGGTTTTTAATACTTGATGTGCTGTTGGAGTGTGAGCAAAGTAACATTTATAAAGGGGATTCAGGGAAACCGGCAGGCCGGACTTGAGTCCTGGAGATGGGAAGTACAGTGCCTGCACTCTGAAGGAGGGGTGTTAATGTTGCAGTTTAAAAACTGTAGTGTAAAGCACCCTTCTGGCAAGACAGTGATGGAGTGAATGATGGTGAAAGTTTTTCTTTTTCGGGCCACCCTGCCTTGGTGGGAATCGGCCGGTGTGATAATAAAAAAATAAATAATAGTTTTGTAATGTGTTGAATGTGAGCAGATTGTTCCAATCATCGACAAATTGGCTTGAAAACCAGTACTTTCCTATGTACTCTGTGAATCAAAAACTATCTAATTTAAATCTTTCTCTTCATTTATAATTTGCATTAATGTGTATACCATATTTTTTTAATTAATGTACACCATATATTTTTTGAAATGTGTTTTGAGCTTGTAGCTGTAGTAATTGTACTATAGCATCACTGTTCTTACTAGTTTACAGAGAAACTGAAGTTGATAATGAAGAGCCGCAAGACTTCAGAGAAGCTGCGTCTCATCATCTTCACAGAATCTGCTGAATCATTGCTTAGTCTTCCAACAATTTGTCGTCGAGGGGCCGAGCTGTCCAGGGATGCTCCCTTTGATCTTGATGGCATTGTATTTGGGTCAGATGATTTTTGTGCTGATATTGGTGAGAATCAGACAAAGTGTGTGTGGAAATATCCTGAGGCTGTTAGGCAGGAAGTGAAACATCACTGTGTTAGATAGTAAAGGTTCCTGATGTCTTTTTAAGAAATTTTTAAAAATGGTTCAAACTACTTATAATATGTTTAAAGAAACAGTAGTGGCTGCTGCTATGTTGGCTTAAATACACAATATGTTTAACTGCTTATGTTTCCATCAAGTGGGTAGATAAACAGATTTCAACTTATTTTAAGATTATGATTAAGATTTTTATTTCTTTGCCATGTTTACAATGTGTGATTACAATTTTTATATGTTAAATACAAAGACAGCCACTATCGTGTAGGGGTATTTTGGGCAGACTAAACCTAATGTTTACAGACTACTTAATAATAGTGATTTTCAGAGGAGTAAATTTTTATTATACAGTAGGGCCCCACTTATACAGCAGGTTAGGTTCCAGGCTAACGCTGGAAAGTGGACATCACCAGAAAGCAGAAAGCCATTTTTCCCACTTATGAATGCACATAAATGCCAGATAACAAGTACGTATAACACTAACATATATTACGTTAACAATAGAACCAGACATTAAAAATATGCACACAGTACACTCATTACTTACCTTAAAATATTTGTCATCTTAATATAAGGTGAGAGGTGAGTACTATTTATTGTAAGAAGTCAGGTGTGGTAGGTATGGTAGCCAGCCAGGCCACCCCACCCACACATAATATGATACAACATTTGAAGTGTCCGAGAGCGATAAAATGTGTGTACAGTACACTCATTACTCACCTTAACCCTTTCACGGTCCAGAGGCCAAATTTCAAAGTGTGCAACAGGGTTCAAGAGTTTAAAAAAAAAATTTTTTTTTGTTATTTTTTCTTATGAAATGGTAGAAAATCTTTTTCTGAAGGTAATAAAAAAAAAAGTATGAAATTTGATGGAAAATTGACGAAATTATGCTCTCGCGAATTTTGATGTGTCACTGATATTTAAGCATTGGCGATTTTGACGACTTTGACTCCCATTTTTCCAGTCGACCAAATTCTTAGCTATGTCACTAGTATTACTTCTATTCTATTGATAGAGCACAAGAAATCGCCAAGTCAACTGTTTCAACTATAAAATACAGTGATTGGAAATTGATAATTTGGCCAATTTAACGCAAAATTCAAAATAGTATTCCAATTTCAAAATAGGGTCCAGAATAAACAATGCAGGCATTCCTGGCACTAAACCAACATTTCTTCTGTTCATTAGTTATGTTTTCGGGCTTTACAAATGAATTCCATTTCGATTTTTTATTCACAATGAATTTTTATTTGAACAGAAAAAAAAAAGAAGATTTACTGTTATGCAATATTGTAATAATTGTATAAATAATATCACCACCTTTGTGAATGTATATTAGACCATTAGCTGGTGTGTATTAAATGTGTGAGGTCATTTGTTTTCTCTTGAACATCAACAAAAATTTAAACATTTCCGCTAGTTTGAGCTCAGTTTCAAGCCATTTCCAGTACTAAAACCAATCAAAATCATCTCTATTTCTGTAATATATCTTCCATTCTATCAAATGAGACCAAGAAATTGCAAATACAACTATAAACATATGAAAAAATACTGCAAAGTCGCTGTTTTAATCGAAAATTATGAGCTCAGTTTTTTTCCCTCATGCACTGTGGTGCAGGGTTTGTTTTATGTGGTGCACACATACCACATAGATGTATTCTCTCATATCTAGGCTCATATTTACTGCTCACAGACTATCGGAGTGAGCTGAGCTCATGGCGTTGATCTACAGTTTGGACCCTCAACTCAAAGCCATAGAACTACGGCACAGACCCTGAAAGGGTTAAGCTATTTGTAGTCTTAATGTAGAGTGTGAGGTGAGTAGTACAGTGGAACCTCAGTATACGACCAGCTCCCTACTCAAACGAAGCTCAGTATTTGACCAAACAAATACAACCTGCCAGAACTACTCTGTAAACTTTTTCGTGTTTCTTCACAATTTTTGGCGTTTTTTTGTATTATTTATATAAATAAGTCACCATGAGCCTTACGAAGATTAGTGATAACAGCCAACCAAACAGAAAATTGGTTGAGAAGAATTTGTTCGATACTCAAACTGAGCGGCACTCGAACAGCCTTCTGGAATGAATTAAGATTGCATACCGAGGTTCCACTGTACATATTTATTTGTAGGAAGTCAGGTGTGGAAAGCATGGTAACCAGCCAGGCCACCCTACCCACACATAATATACAGTGGAACCTCGGCTTACGAATGCCCCACCATGTGAACTTTTCAGGATACAGTCGTTCGGTCGAGGTTTTGCTTCCTGATACAGACGAAATTTCAGGATGCGAACTTCCCCCTCAAGGGGCGGCAGACATGCTCGGTGCACAAGCGAAAAAAAAAATGAAAAATAGCTTAACTAACTGGCAACACAACGGTACAAGAATCAATGTAATATGACATTCCTACAATGAATTATAGTCATTTATATCATGTATGGTGACAGCCGCTCTGAGTGAGGCAGCAGAAATTACTTCATTATTATGCTAATATCATTTCTATGGCTAATTTATCTATCAGAATTGATCTAATATGGCATGATAAACACTATAAATGATATTTAAACATGATATATACACTAGAATTAATAAAATAGGCCATAATATGGCAATTGTCTACCAGGGATATTGGAGATAAAATAATTTTCGCTCCTTCCTATAATATGTTTTGTGGCCTTGAGTAAGAGAAAAACGGTGTTTTGGAGAGGCTAATTGCTCTAGATCACCAGTAAACACTGAAACAAACACGATTTTCTTATTATTATTTTATCATATTAGCATTATTATTATTATTACTATTATTATTATTGTTATAAGAATATTATTACAGTGGACCCTCACCTAACGATATTAATCCATTCCTGAGAGCTCAATGTTAGGCGAAATTATCGTTAGCCGAATTAATTTTCCCCATAATAAATAATGGAAATCAAATTAATCCATTCCTGACACCCCAAAGTATGAAAAAAATTATTTTTACCGCATGAAATATTAATTTTAATACACACAAACTGAAGAAGACATGCACAGTTATATGACACTTACCTTTATTGAAGATCTGGTGATGATTGATGGGATGGGAGGAGGGGAGACTGGATGGTGTTAATGTTTAGAAGGGGAATCCCCTTCCAGTAGGACTTGAGGTGGCAAGTCCTTTTCCGGGGTTACTTCCCTTCTTCTTTTAAATCCACTAGGACCAGTTTGAGAGTCACTGGACCTCTGTCGCACAACATATCTGTCCATAGAGCCCTGTATCTCCCGTTCTTTTATGACATTCCTAAAGTGTTTCACAACATTGTCAGTGTAATAGTCACCAGCACGGCTTGCAATAGCTGAGTGATGGTGATTTTCATCAAAAAAGGTTTGCACTTTAAGCCACATTGCACACTTTCCTTAATCTTTGAAGTAGGCAACTTCCTCAATTTCTCTATCCCCTCCTCCGGAGCAGTTTCCTCAGGTCTGGCCTCTTGCTGTTGTAAATGATGTAGCAGCTCATCAGTGGTTAGTTCATCATTGTCCTCTTCCACCAACTCTTCCACATCCTCCCCACTAACCTCCAACCCCAAGGACTTCCCCAATGCCACAATTGATTCCACAACTAGCATAGGCTTCTCAAGGTTAGCCTCAAATCCTTCAAAATCCCTTTTGTCTACACATTCTGGCCACAGTTTTTTCCAGGCAGAGTTCAAGGTCCTCTTAGTCCTTCCCTCCCAAGCCTTACCTATAATGTTTACACAATTGAGGATGCTAAAATGATCTCTCCAAAACTCTCTTAGAGTCAATTGAGTTTCTGAGGTCACTACAAAGCACCTTTCAAACACAGCTTTTGTGTAGAGTTTTTTGAAGTTTACAGTGACCTGCTGGTCCATGGGCTGCAGGAGAGGAGTGGTATTAGGAGGCTAAAACTTGACCTTAATGAAGCTCATTTCCACAGAAAGTCGCTCTGCCACGTCTTAAGGATGACCAGGAGCATTGTCTAATACCAGGAGGCACTTAAGGTCCAATTTATTTTCCAGGATATAATTTTTCACAGTGGGGGCAAATGCATGGTGTAATCAGTCATAGAAAAAGTCCCTAGTGACCCATGCCTTACTGTTTGCCCTCCACAGCACACACAAATTAGCCTTGAGGACATTGTTTTTCTTGAACACTCTGGAAGTTTCAGAGCGATACACAAATAAAGGCTTCACTTTGCAATCACCACTAGCATTAGTACACATCAACAGAATAAGCCTGTCTTTCAAAGGCTTATGTCCTAGGAGTGCCTTCTCCTCCTGAGTATTGTAGGTCCTGCTTGGCATTTTCTTCCAAAACAGGCCTGTTTCATCACAATTAAACACTTGTTCAGGTTTCAGTGCTTCACTGTCTATGTACTCCTTGAATTCCTGCACATATTTTTCAGCCGCTTTGTGGTCCGAACTGGCAGCCTCACCATGCCTTATCACACTATGTATGCCACTACGATTCTTAAATCTCTCGAACCAACCTTTGCTGGCCTTAAATTCACTCACATCACCACTGGTTGCAGGCATTTTTCTAATTAAATTGTCATGCAACTTTCTAGCGTTTTCACATATGATTACTTGAGAGATGCTATCTGTTTTTCGTTTATCCACACCAATAACAGTCTCTCAACATCTTCTATCACTTGCGATCTCTGTTTCGAAAACAAAGTTGCACCTTTGTCAAGAACAGCTTCCTTGATTGCTGTTTTCTTGGCCACAATAGTAGCGATGGTTGATTGGGGTTTTGTGTACAACCTGGCCAGCTCGGAGACACGCACTCCACTTTTATACTTAGCAATGATCTCTTTCTTCATATCCATAGTAATTCTCACCCTTTTTGCTGTAGGATTGGCACTAGAAGCTTTCTTGGGGCCTATGGTGACTTATTTTGCAGGTGCAATCACTAAAAAGGCTGTGATAA